GCATACAATCCCCGGGCCACTGACACCAACGGGTCGTCCATGATAACATCTCCGTCAATACGGGGACGCCAGAAGAATTCAAGACCCCCGTATGAGAATATATCGGGAGTTTTGTTGACCGTGGCCATGAGGGAATCGAAAGGGACGCGCCGAAGACAGTCGAGAGTGTCCGGGGAGGCAGTGCAATTATTAGCGACTACCAGGCTATCATATGCTGCCTGCCCATCGGCGACGGAAGGTGACGTGATTGGGGAGCCAGATACCTAATGATAATTAAGTGAGCAATGCGCGCAGCGTCCAGAATGATACTTACCATGAACGCGCCCCGAAACAAAGCATTTGAGTTCTGCTTGTTGGAAAGAATGAGGAGAGACGTAGATATAGCTCCTGCGCTCGGGCCGCCGCTGCGAAGGTCCATCAGTAGCAGCGCATATAATGAATGGAACTGAGCTACATGACGACTCGATTGGGATCTCCGCCGAATGCAGAGATATGCTTCTTAACCCATTCGAGGGCATAAATCTCTGTAAAGACATTCGTAAATCGAATTCTCGGATGCTGTGAGATATGAAGACCTACGGTCTCGTAAACCAAGATTGCTTATTCCTGCCGCGTCGACTTCCTGTCCTCCCAAAAAGCCAAATGCTAAGGAGAGTGCGTTATGTCGCGAGATGAAATGGAAGATGAGGAGAATCCACCAGTGACGCGGTAGTTAGGTGCGACAATAATGACGGGTTCACTTGTTTCGATGGAGCGCTCGGCTAATGACGAGACGTCCTGATCCCTCGAATTTCCAATCTCGAAGCCACCTAAGGGAATGCGACATGAATATTTTCCTCAAGGAAACTGCGAGATGATTATGTACCCCCAAATATCCACTATTAACAGTAAAGTGAGCACCTCGTGCCAGGTGAAGCATCATGAATAGGTTTACCACAAATACAGGAAGCTTCGATCTGGAATCCGAGGCAGCGGGCTTGACGATATCAAGCGTTAAACCTTTAATGAAGTCAAGACGCCAGTCAATTAAAAACATTGGGAAACTGACAATCTTCAGAGATGGAAGGATATAATCCAGGCTGGGAACCGATCGGCAGAGGAGTCAGTGCCTGCTGGGGACAAGCGGGCCCAAACTCTGTGGCATTCTGCACACCGTGCATCAGTTTGGGAGGCTTTGGTGTGTCAAAGCGCGGGCTGTAAAATCGCGTCAACATCAATCCAAGATCTCAGCAACAGACCTACGCATGGGCAAACGGAACACCAAGGAATTTGGTCAGGTTCCCAGTGTCGAGGCCCTGAAACGTCCCGTATGGCAAGGAAACTAGAGCCGGGTTTGCAGCCGATACACCAGAACCGAGGAAAATCGACAGCGTAATACGGAGGAAGATTGCGAACATCACTGCGTCTCAGGACACTCGTCGAAGGGGTGCTCTTCCGACTTTTAAGTTGGGTAACCGAAGCCGGACGGAACAGGATCACATCGAAACATTGCAGCAGAGTAGTCAGCGTTGGTGCTTATAAACACGGAGCGATGAATTGGCATTTCCCGACAAGTCGGAATCTTGACTCGAGCCGACAATGGTTAAGATCTGTGGATTTACGGAGTCTGGCTGTTTCAGTCCAGGTCTCTACGGAGTTCCCTTCCTCGTCTAGCACATGAGAACCCAGAACGCGAAGGAAACCGAGCTAGAGCCTAGGATTGTTGGAAAACCGAACCAGAGAATTCAACTGAGCCTCCGTCGGAACCAAGTAGCTCCAAATCGGAACTAACAAGGGCTTACAAAATAATCTAACAAATAAATTCAGATGGACGGTGAAAGATAACAGTTTAGGCGATAGGGAGAAATTCCGGGTATCGCCTCCTGCCCGCCGGAATCAAGCCGGAATGAAGCGCAGCGTAGCCGGGGCAAGAGACAATGAAAGGGGGCGCTCAGGGAGCAACCCGGCGCCCACACGCGCCGGTAGACAGACGGGCGCGAGAGGCACTGGAGGCAAGCCTGCCGCCGTTGAGCGCACAGCAGCTAGCCGGGGATCGCGTGCATAATCCCGGCGCGCGGGGCGCAATGCGCATCTTGATGTAATGCTCACGACGTCTGCGCCCGGCGTCCCGCAGATCCCTTCCAGCGGCCTACGCACCTCCAGACCGCGCGCGTCTCGTGGCGAACGTCCCACACCATGGTGGACTTCACCGCACGCAGCTCGACGTACTCCTCGGGGGACGGATGTCGCCACCTCTGCCCGGCGCCCCGTAAAGCGTGCGGATGCGACGCGATGCTTGGTCGTGCGTGTACAGCGGCGGCAGATTCGTGTATCGCCACCCGACGCCCCGTACACCGCTGTTTCCGGAAGCAGCGCGGGAAGCTCACGCAGCACGCTGCACTCGGGCAACAGACGTGCATGTGCACTTCCACCTCTCCGCGGGGTCCCGCAGAGCCCCGGGGGCCACGAGCACCGACACCCACCCCATCGTGCTCGTGCTGTCCCGCGTTCCGAGCCCCGTCAGGGTGGAGCTCGACGACACCTCTGCACCTTTCGTGCAAGGGAGGGCGTCCCGCAACACAAACACGCCGACTCCACATCCGCTCCTCTTCCCCGGGCTTCCATCCTCGAGGGCGAACACTTCTCCTCCTGCATAACCCATGTCCCACGCCCCTGCCCCAAGCCTGATAGAAAGAGAGGTGAAAGAGAGCGGGAGAAGAGAGCGGGAGCGGGCCCAGGACGCCCACATCAGCCCTGAGTAGAAACGAGAGAGAGGCACCCCGCCTGGCCAGGAGCTGCACGGCGTTTAGTGGCCCATTGTGCCCTCACGATCCGCCGCCTCCCCATCCAGGGCAAAGTGGCAATCGCGGCATGTGGGCGCCAGGCGCGCGAGCATCACCCGCCCGCGGTAAGAGCGCACTCCAATCAAGGCGCGGCGGGGGAGTGGCACGAGCATAAAGATAGCTTGCTGTCCACATGCGTCCGGAGCCCCCAGTCGAGAATGACGTGCGCCCCGTCATAGATCGCGCCGCGCCCCGTAGGCAAGGGCGCCAGCCATGCACGCGCCCCGCCCATCGCCCGTGAGACCTATGTATACGAAAGATAGCAGCTCCACCCATGCACCGGGACGAATCCCCGCGCGGAGAGGACAGCACGACCCCACAAGGAAGGCAGGGAGAGCACCCCAGACATCGACTGCGACGCTAGCCCGGAGGGCAGGGCCCTCCATGGCGTCGCATCAGAGACGACGCCAGCCAGCGGCGGCAAGAGCCCACATGCGCTCGCCCACCCATCCGAGTCGCGGCCATAGCCCCCCCGCCCACACTCGTCATCGCGCCCACACAGCCCACACCACGAGACCACGCCGCTTGCAGAAAAGCCAGGCGCGCCGACGCGGACATGCACACCGTGCATTGCCACGCCGGACACCGCGGTGATGCCTCGTGCAGCGCGGATAGAGCCCGCAACGTCGCAGTGAGGAGGCGGGCTAGCGGCATGTAGTACTGGCTCGAAGAGAGATCGCGCGAGAAGGTGCCGTTAGGAGGAGCGCGGAGAGGAGGGCCAGGGCGGCCCATCTGAGACAGCATGATGCAAAGCAGGAGAGATCACACATGCGCGGAGCCACCGGTCACGACCAGGGCTAGCGCAGCTCGTATTCGCCGTCGTGCTGCGTCCTCCCGCCGCCTGGCATCCGATACGAGACCACGCCGCAAAACGAAACGCGCCGGAAATAGAGCACGACGACACTTGCATGGCCTTTTCCGTGTGGTGTCCCACAGAATCTGGACGGAAAGGAGGGCCAGCAGCGGGGAGGAGAGACGAGGGCACGCGCATAGGACTCTATGCTTGTAGAGTCTACTGGAGCCGCGCTGTACTGTAAAACCGAGATCAATAGCCTAGAAACGGAGGGAGACACGGATGGCTCACGGAGGCTCCTGGGCTTCCGTGAAACGCTAGCGTTGCCGCGTCATAGCGAAATCGGGGAAAGACGACAGAAGACGACTCGGACGTTAAAAGGCTTTGAAAAGACTGGTCTTTGCCATTCGAGTCCTTCTCGAGCCCTTCTCTTTCGTGTGTATCCGGCCGCTGTTCGTCTTGGTCTCAGGATAGGTGCGATCTCGTGACACAATGACCTTTCTTCTTGCCACCATCTGCCTGGCTCATTCCCCAACCGCGCAAGGACCACTGGCGATCTCTGGCCGCTGAATAATACTAGACGCCATCGCGCCTTGTGCCTTCGTCCCGGGAATAAACGAAATCCACCCACCCTGGTCCCTCAGTCGTGATGACCTACTCAAAATTCAAGGACTCGGAGCCGCAAGTGTGTCCGCGCAAAGTCAAGCATTGACGGTAGTCGAGAAGATCTGGGCATCAAGTGTGGCACTCGCCTCCAACACATCGCGCTCCAGAACTCCTCTCGTTCCTGCGTATTTATAATCGACCCAAAAATTCGCATCAACTCTCGTGTGCGCACCTCGCGACCTGTACGCCCCCAGCTTGTCTCCTGTCGCATACATCCAGTTCACGTCCGCCGCCTACGAACCTGACGGCGATTCACACCACACCTCGCGTCGATCCATGGTACACGGTTCAGCGTCCCCCTCATGTGCGACTTGAAGTTCAACCTCATCAACCTGACACTGAGTCGCGCTCTCTCGCTCAACCTGGGACACTCGATATTAGGCCTAGATATACTTGACGACGTTGTCCTTGAACTCGTATTCCCCTGCACCCACATGCATCGCATCCATCTGTATATATCCATCCCCAGGCGCATCTTCTCGATGCGCATCGCACCAATCTTACTCTACCTATCTCAGACAGCCTCTTGTATCGTGAACCATTTGTATCTTGAAGCTCTCTTATTCCGAGTCGGATTCCCCAGATGCGATCGTTTAAATTTAATTGCACGATTACATCTTCAACGAAGAATTGAATTCACCCAAAATTCAACTTTTGAAGTCACAGCTCGCCGAGCGTTCGACATTCGGTATTAAACCAGCTGCCTACTATAGCATGTCGGTCTGGTGGTGTAACGGTAACACGCCTACTTTACTTAATGCTGTAGGCTCCATGAAGGTTTCGGTAGGAGCACCTTGTTCGACTCAAGGCCAGGCCCTATTTCCACTTGCTGCCTTTTTTTTTTTGTTCGGGTTCGCAGAAATCATCCACGTACTTTACCTTAGTTACTGAGAAGGGAGTGTAAAGGCGTGGTGGTGTAGCGGTAACACACCTGCTTTACTAGTGGTTTTCCCGATCGGGAACGGATCAGCAGGAGTCCCTTGTTCGACTCAAGGTCAGGCCATGGCGTTCTACTGGTGACTTTTTTCTTTTTCTTTGTGAGTATCCACCTCTGTGGGTTTTTTCCATGGTTCCGCTCGACAATCCACTTTCTCTCCTCTGCAGTTGCAAAATTAATTGCGAATTTCGGGAGAGCCCGGAACCTGTGTCGGCAACACTCGGCTCTGATTCTCACTTCACTCATTTACCTCCTCCCCGACGTATCTGTCTTTGGCGATGCTTCCGTCCACTTTTTCTTTGCATAATCCCATCTTCCGAATTAGCATTGCACTCCCAGTCAATTTATTGACGGTGAATATATCTGAGGACATTCGAAGTCATATAGAGGTTGATACGATAAAGGTAATCATAGGCCTGCTGGTGAAGCGGTATCATTTCCCTATATTATCAAGCAGGTGGATATTGCTTGTTGGGAAGTTCCTTGTTCGAAGCAAGGTCAGGCCGTCCCCATTTGCAAAGAAACTCTTTTTATTTTTTCTCACTCACGAAGAAAAATAACGATCTTCTGTCGATTTTGATACAAATAGATAGTGGCCCAGTGGTGTAATGGTTAGCATATCTCCCAAGGCTGCGCAGGTTGGATTATTTCTGGTGGAAGGTCCTTGTTCGATTCAAGGCTGGGCCATGCTTGTTTTTTCGGTTTTTTTTTCTTGGGAGGGCGCTTCCTTTGCTCCTGTTCTCGGGGGATGTAAGATTTAGATACTCAGTATTATTATAAGACAAAACCATGCAAGCCAAGCGCTGTGAGGGTTCGGATGCCTGAAGAGAAGAAAGTTGAACCCTAATTGAGTTCGGCACGTGAGCTCGGCATCCGCCGATGTCTCTTTGCTCTTAACATCCACGACTCGTACCGGCGTGTATTGGCTTTCTATCGAATGAAATCGCTTCGCGAGGACCTTGCTTGCTCCACGCTCTACTGGTAGGGCGGTAACACTAGTGAATAGCATGATGGCCGCCGATTCGAACGTACCTGGATGATGGCAGAGTTATATTCAAGACACTCCGCGCGACTCTGAGTCTCGGGATCACGAATTTCGCATTGCCGCAGAGTCGGCCCGACTTGTCTTTCCCGTGGATCTGCGCGATTCAAGTAGTGTTGTCAAAGTTCGGATCGGGAAATGCCTGACCCTTGAACGTTTGAACCTGCAGGTCCAGTTCGGTGTTCTAATGCGTTCGAACCGGAAATAAATTCCCACCTCCCAAAGTCTCCACCAGAGAGTCACATAAAATTGAAGATGGCCTGGGAGGTCCTTGGCTTAATGCCTGAGAGAGATCAAACACATTGCGAGGCCTCAGAGCAGCTAATCTGAGGAAATTTGTACTCTCGTCTTTGTAACATTGAACTGGGCTGTAATTAAAATATTACCAATACAGTATACAACTAATACAGTCTAATTTGATCCAGGAATATTAATAAACCCCTCTTCACTCCAATACCGCATCCACCGCTCGACGTCTTCCATGCCCAACGGCTCTACCGACCGTATCGCTGAGCTGAGCTCCTGCGCCTTCACAGTGGAGAACTCCGTACTCCCGCGACCGGCCGTCACCGCGGTGAAGAAGTCAAGCAACTTGATACCGGGCTGTAGTTGAATGTCAGAATCAAGAGAAGACTGGGATCTCAGGAATGCAACGCACGATATTATTGATATCCTCGGGCGTTGCGCGCGCAGCGCGAGCCTCGAGTTGACGGACCCAATCCGCGAACGGTATGAGCTTGCGATTCGCGATGCGGGCCATGCTCGAAATGATGGTGTCCCACGATACGGGCCGCGGGTGGACGAGGTTGATCGCAAACGGCGGACGCTCCGCACACAGTGCAGCATCGACGATGGTGCGAGCCACCGCCTCGGGAGAGATCCAGGCTATGCTACTGGATGAACTAGAGGGGAAGCCTCCCAGCGCGATGCTGGATTTTACAATGGCGGGAACCCAATCCGTGGTCGACCAAGCACCGTTGGTAGCCGCCCCGCTGACCTGCCCGATCCTGAATGAGGTTCCTTGCAGACCGGACGCTGCCAGAATCTGAAAAATATGTTAGCGCAAGCGCAGCCAAAAGACGGAAGCTGCTCACCCGCTCCGAGACGTACTTGCTCTCGCCATAACCGTTACCGACAGCGACATCTGCATCGAGCTGGAGTTCTTCGGGGAATGGTCCGAGTTTTTGGTCCCACCCCTGTGCAGACGCGATGGACGACGTGAACAAAAAGCGGACAGTGGATGCACTTGGCGATCGGCGCGCTAAATCAACGAGATTGCGTGTTCCCTTGACGTGAGGCTCGAATGTAGATAGTGACTTGTTGAAGTCAAGCGTCCAGGCGTTGTGGATGATCACTTTAATCGTGTCGCGGAGCTGCAAGAGAAACTCAACGCACGATCTTCGATAAATGAGGAAGTTGAACATACCTTGGTGTAAACATCCGCAGGTACTCCCAAATCCGGTTTCGACGTATCGCCATCGAGATACACCAGCTTCTCAGAGGATAGCAAATTGACATCCAGAGCGCGATCAATGAAAGCCTCCTTCTGTCGGTTGGATGACGGAGCTCTGCCCATTCTGTTGAATGCATATACGCGTTCAACTGCCGGGAGACTGAGAAGCATCTCGAGGAGGTGAGAGCCGAGGCCTCCTGTCGAGCCCGTCAGAAGCACCACTGCTCCGCCAGACGAAGAAACCGTCTCCGATTGAGTGGTAGCTTGGTCGAACCCTTGGCTGTACTTTTCAATCATTCCTTCGATGGCGGCCTTGTGCCCAGCATCTGTATTTGAACTGCCGGACACCAGGAGATTTATAACCGCACTGGCCAACTCCTGGATAGAGGGATAGGAATAGACGAAATTCTGTGGGATTTTTTGGGCTGCCTTCGCTGCTTCGTCACCAGAATTCTTCAGCGCGCCGACGATGCGGTGTCGCAAGAAGGTGGCGTTGAGGCTGTCGAATCCTTGGTCGAAGAGGTCGTGGCCGCCGTGGATATCCCGCTCTGCAAGCAAACTCGCGTGTTTCGCGAGCCACGGTTCGAGATCGCGGGTGGTCCACGATGAAGGCGGCTCGATGTCGCTAGCAGCGTTCCCGCTCGCCTCGATGGTGTCGTAACTATAAAGATACTGGTTAGCCATAGAAGCAAGTCCAATGAATCTGAGTACTTACAGCGCCTCTATTTCTTCCTTGTATAGTGCGATCGTCGCCTTCTTGTTGACTGTGCCTTTAGGAGCACGAGCCATCGGCTTGTCCGGGTCGGTCACCAGAATCATCTCCTTGTAGATTCGACCGAAGGCAGGAGCATCCTCGTTGGCCTCTTCTATGACAGGCCTGAAGTAGGAATAAGCACCCAACTCCACCCGGGCGACTTCATTCAACTCACCAGATCGAATTCCGGAACTTCGCAAGCTGCTGCTCGTCCTTGGGATCGAGCTTATACTGGGGATTCGGTTCGATGAGGACGCCGACCTGGTTGCGCTCACGCCCGAACATGACCGCGCCAATGATGAAAGGGCTAGCCATCATGACGTCCTCCATCGGCCCAGGCACCGTCTTCTCGCCATTGGCCATGATCAGTACGTCGTCCAGACGGCCCACACTGTCAAAAATTGGTTAAAGAATACCACTTGAATGCTAGATTTGTTAGACCCACATTCTGAAGAGGTCGGGCTTCGTCGGGTGTCGCTCGAACAAATCTTTGGTCGAATATCCCTTCACGTCGGGGAGATTCTCAACCGAGACTTGGTGCGTCTCCGGTACAGTCTATTGCCAACCGTGAGATCAGCGAGGCAAGATCAAAACCGGGTGAACTCACGAGGAACTGGCACTCGAACGTTCCGTCTCCCTGGGGGATCCACCGGATATTCACCCGGCTGCTGAAGTGCATCCACGCCCATTCCCCGGCGTCGATCTCTGCTTGGCGCATCTTGAGCCTGTTCGACGCCCCAACTAGCAATATAAATCGCTCTCGTCAATATGCTGCGTAGGTTCGCATGAAATTCCTACGTACACTCGGTCGCACCGTATATCGGGACGATCTTCACACCCTGGCTGAACAGCGCGTCGCCGACACGGGACGCGAGCGGGCCGCCTGAATATGACTGAAAAAACTTGACTTTCAGCGGTCTGAGATTGTTTTAGAACTGAAAACGTACAACGAGGTTAAATGTCTTGAGATATGTCACGTCTTCCGGGGACTGCCACTCCATAATCATCGCCGGGACCGCCATGACCCCCGTCGCGTTCGCCTTGCGCGCGTTCTCAAGCGCATTCTCCGGCGTGGGGACTACCGGGACGACGTATTCGCTTGCCGTGGAGGGCGGGTATATGCACGCCGTCCCGCCCGTGAGCAGGGGATAAATCAGCTGGGAAACGAAGGCCAGCGCGTGGAAGGCGGGCAGCGCGCCGACCGCATGGCGCGGGGATATGTCGACTAGATCGGTGAGTGTATCTGCGCTGTGGCATGAGCCAATCGATTCGAAGCGCACGGAAGGGAGAAAACGAACCAAGGGCTGCGAAATGGATGATGTTTCTGTGGGTCTCAGGGATAGATTTCGGGAAGCCGGTGCTGCCTAATCCGCCCAAAAAATCAGTTGACAGGGAGGAGCGAGATACGGAGAGAGCCTACCACTGGAGTGGAGGTACAGCGCGACATCGTCGAGTGGCGTTCTCGTAGCCGGGCTGGGATAAGGGACAAAGGGATCTTCTATGGTTTCATGACCGAGATGCGGGTAGAGTTGCCCGAGAAGGGGGATCTCCTCGATTGAGAGCTCGTATGGCGGGCTCTGCGCAGACAACTCGGTGCCTACAGCGCCGACAAGATGGCCGAGCGAGCCCTTGGTCGTCAGCAGCCGGTGCGATCCGGTGGTTCTAAGAAGATGGAGCACTGCGGCAGCAGAGTTGCGATGCGAAATCGGGAAGGGCTGGCGAAAGAAAAACAGAAACAAGATGAGAAAACAGCTTGCGATTAACCAAGAGTGCGAACGTACGACGAGGCCCGCCTTTATGCAGCCTGCGACGAGTGTCTGGTAGAGCAGGGCGTCCGTGAGCGCGGCGATGGCGAGCACCTGACCCTCCGCCCCGCGGCGCTGCGGCCGCAGGAGGTGCGCGACACGATGCGCCGCCCGCGCGAATTCAAACTGGCTGACTTCTATTATACCGCGCGCGCCGTCCGCGAAGGCGTACGCTGCGCCACGGTGCGCCCGTGTAACGTGCAGGTCGATGATCTCGCCCACGTTGAGCGAGCAGTCGAGCGGTGCACGGACGGGGGCCGTGGTGCTTGTGCTTTGGGTTTGGGTAGATGTGGAGGACATTGCGAGTTGAAGTTGTTGAGGTTGAATCTAGGAGCTTTCTGAAATGATGGATGCCGTTCCCGAGAGCCCATGCGGGTTTATATAGAATACGACACTCGGCGAAGGGCCGTAGAGTGAATAAGACGGCAGGCCTGGTGACGATGGCGCAAAAG